GTATTTCTTGCAACGTTGTCCAGGTCATGGTCTTCAGATCGGCTGGGGTGGCAAGCGCTTTTGCCATTTTAAAAACTGCCGGGCCGCAATGGGTGAGGAAAAGGGCCCTCTTCCTCTGCTCTGATAAGCTCAGCAGATCGTTCGCCTCCATGAACATATAGAATCGCTCCATGTAAGCTTCCCAATCTTCCCCGGTTGGGTTGAATGGAGCGGGCGGTGTGATTGCAGACATCACGATAGCCGATGATCTGACCGGTGTTTCGGTGGATCGGATGGGTGGCTGATGATTGCTTGGAGATTGATGTGCAGTCCTGTTCCTTCAGATCCCACCTTCGTCGCCAATGTTAAATCGTGGGCGATTGAAGGAAGACTCGAAACAATGTAACTGTAACTCTTTTATTTAACTCCAGAACAGCAAAAGCAACTCAAACCCCGGGCAACCCTTTATATAGGAAGGGGCTGTCCCCGGCTGCAACCACTGACGTGCCTTCTAATTTCCCGCTCTCAGGACTAATTCCTGATTGGCTCATTTGAATTGTACTTGATATCTAACAGTGAGCAGGTAAAGTGTTGTTGTGATGTAAATGTCCCAACTCCTAAATCCTTTATTCTATGTGTGACCTCCCTGGTGAATCTGTGAAGTGGTTTTAATCTTCCTGGGAACTGATGAAAGAGAAGTATAAAAAATGAGATTCTGAGGCCGCCATCTCTATTGAGGGAAGGATTTTTCACTTTGGCATAAATGGATTCCTTCACTCCTCTCTCAAACCATCTACTGTACTTTTCAGAGTATAAGACACACTCCCCCCCCCTCCAAAAGAGGATGGAAATGTTGATGCATCTTATATATCAAATACAGCCATTTTTGGCCTCCCAAAACCCCACCCTGCACATCCCATTTTTGCCGAAAAAACAGGCGCAGAGGGTTTGGGAGGCCTGAAGAGTGCTCCTGGGGGCTGGGGAGGGCAAAAACTGGATGTGCGGAGGCCAAAAACTTTTTTTCTTCTTCTTTTCCTCTTTGAAATCTTGGTGCATTTTATACACTGGTGCATCAAAAATACGGTATCTTCCATGTCCCAAATATGAACATTATTGTCCTCAAAAGAGTGACCTTTTTCTTTTAAAATAAAGGTATGCTACTTATTCTGGTCCTGTAGTGTTGCTTCTCTTGTGCTGGGCCATTCTCTTGTGTAAAGGCTGCTTGGTTTCTCCAGTGTAGAGCTCTGGAACACTCTTCAGTGCACTGCACTCTTTGCTGCACTGAACTGCATACACTGCCTTACTCTTCTTATATTTTAGTGTCTGATCTTTAGGTTGGACAAACTTCTGCCTCAGTGTGTTGGTGGGTTTGAAGAATACAACAATGTGATGTTTTCCAAATATCCATTTTAGCTTCTTTGATACCCTGGCTGTGAAAGGAATGATCAGGTTTTTCTGTTAACGCTAACTCAGATTGAAGAAACTACTTGGATAAGCAGCAAAACATTTCAATCCAACAAGAAAGGAAGTCCAGTTGCCATGACTCACCTTCCAGACAATTCTACCTGGATGACTAAGAATCTTTCTAGACTAGGAGTGTTAAACTCGCAGCCTGTGGGCCAGATGCATCACACAATGGCCATGCCCACGCCCAGTTTAGCAAAGGGGGAAAAAGTCGAGATACGTCACGTGATGACATCATGATGACATGAGTCTGAAAACCCTATTCTAGAACATGCATGGCAATGAGCAGAAGGGAATGTATTTCTGCCCCTAAATTGGTGGGTTTTTTTTTCATTTTCTCCTTCAGTTTTCTGTTCAGAAATCACACGGCAAGAATTGTGACCTAACGTGATCAAGAATGCTTCAAATATAGAAATAAATGCATGAATATTTGCTTTGCCATACTTTTCTCATTTTGAAATCTGTATCCAGTTGCAAGGTGCAAAGTGACTAAGCCTGAGAGTTTCTAGGTAGATGCAAACCTCAATAGTTTAGGGGAGTATTTAAAATTGGATGAAGAATGTGCGCTGGAGAATAATATTCCCTTTCTTTCAAAAATGGTTAACAATTAGAGTAGCAAAGACATGACATTAATGTCATGAGCCAAATACACTCTTTGTTCCTGATTAAAACTGATTGAATTTAATTTAAGCAGAGCAGACACTGGAAACAGCCCAGAGAACTGGGCTGCCTCTTTTAACAAAAGTTTTGCCTGAAGTCAGAATTTAATAAGGAAAGGGAAAAAAAAACTTTTGACAAACCTGGACTTAGGTTGTACAGCATCATATTAAAAATCCTCAGGTTGAGGTTAGACTATGTTGATCATATAATTAGATTTAGTTTTAACTAAATTTTCATCCATCTTGGAATTTTCATCAGCTACTTACATAAAGTGCATCCATTTAACTCACCTCGCATGCATCTGGTAGTTCCAGTTCATCAACAATACATTCATTTGTATTCATTTACTCATTTGCTCTGATAGACGGGAATTTCTTTCAGGACATAAACTTTAATTCAAAGATGAAAAAGAACAGTGAGCTTCTATTATTATCTTTGGAAGGAACCAAACATAACTATTCATCGTTTATTACTTAACAGTAGCTGCATAATATGAATTCTTTATATCCTGCATTTTGAATCAATTTTTCACAAGGCAATTTACAGTATTTTGGAAAGATTAACACAACAGAAGTAACATTATAACAGCACTTAAGGCTGTGTCTGAAGCTAATCTAAATGGATGGAAATAATCTTAAATCTTCTGTTGCTTTAATCTGCATCAGTAAAATTTGGTAACCAAATGTGAGCAAATTTAAGTGGAGGGAAGAAATCTCTTTTCTAAAGTGAGCTAAGTTAAGAAAAGCCACCTTTAAGACAAATAATTTTCAACTGAAGCCCATGAAATGTTGATACTTTGATATCATTTTTTTTAAAAAAGAGGATACTCATAACAGGAGTGGTTCAAATCAAACCTCTATGATGGCCTTTGGACAGCAAGCACAACAATCAAATATATAGATCTGTAGTTATTAATAACACTTAAGATAAATGGGGTGATTCTTTCATTTTATGGCTTGCAAAAAGCTTAGTGAGTGCTGAAGTGATAAGGAAGATGAAGTATCTAAAAATTCTCAAAACACAGTGATAATAATGTTACATTGTAAATTGTAATAATTTTCAATATTTATGCGAGTGAAATTAGCACAGAGATTCAAATATGAGGATTATAACAAATTGATCATAAACCTGGCAGTTAAAGCTGAGTGGCCTCCTTATAAACTTACTGTGACCTTCTAGAAATATGGTATGCTGCTCTGGGAGGCCAGGTTGCCCACTGATTAAAATTATAGCTTTGCACATCTGAACAGTTGCCCTCTTTTTATTCCTGCCTGATGCATTCCTTCATTGTGGCCTTTGCTACACCCAACCCAACCCAATCTGTGAAAATAATTCTGACAATTTCAATAAGCATTTGAATATAAACCTAACATTTTATGTTTTCTTCCATTTGCCCTGCAGTGTAATTTTAAAAAATTGGTCAGCTGGATGAAAAGAACATATGCTGGTTCAAAATGGGTAAAAATTGTACTGGTGATCAATGGTTTGGTAAAGACTGTGGTGGCTCATTACATTAAATCTTCCAAATAGAATTTGTTTTTATTTGTTCGACCACATTTCTTATTTTTCCTAGTTTGTGGATGAAAATCTAAACCTGGATGATAATTATTTGCTTCCAACAGTGAACTCATTTTGCTGATAGAACCTGTGGTCAGGTCTTTTATTTCTAGATGTACCCTGATAGTACAATATGTTGTTGTTCTGATACCAGATCCTCTGAAAAGATAGATCTTACCAGTCTTCAGACTTGCTGGGAAATGTCATATAGTACTTTCTCTTTAGCTTTTCACACTTCATTTCCTCCATGAAATCTGCTTCAATAAACTTCCAGTACATGTAAACTCTTTCCCCATTTAAAACCTATCTGCATTGTACCAGATTATGGTTGGTGTCCTTAGAAAATGCCAAAAAAAAAAAAATGCTTAGCTTAAGTTTATATGGTGATCTTCAGAAGAGTGGCTGACTCTTTCCTTTGTGAAATCAAGAGAGCAGGATGCATGTAGATCTTCCAAATCTTTCAGTTTATCTTCCATTTTACATATAACTGTGATCCTGAAATCTTTTTATGCATTTACCATAAAGCTGGTAACAAAACCTAGTATATTAGTAAAAAGAATGAGAAACAGAAAACAAATTTATGGATTTATAGAAATCAAATTTACCCCTAAAAGGAGATTATTCTTTCTTAATGGATGGAGGTGTGTGTGTGTGGGGGGGGGAGAATTGCATTCAACTAGAATGTTAGCAGTTTGGGATTCAAGTTATCTCCAATACAATTGCTGGAGGTTTTCTTATTGAGTTATCAAAGAAGGTGGAACTACTTTTAAAAATTTAATTCAGCAGATGACATGGAGGAAGCTTACAAATGCTTGTTTGTTGCACATATAAACACCTGTATATGAACGCCCTTGAAGCATGCTCTGGTAGCTTAAATATATAGGGTATGCATTTGGATTAATTAGCCAGTCCTGTACTGGACACATTAAGTGTTAATTATCTATTCTAATTCAAAATAACATAGAAAATGTGTAAATGAGAGTGCATAAAATCACTAACTACGTTTCAAATAAACTGAAACATGAATCTCTGTCAATTCCCTCTTTGCCTGCACCAAAACAAATATATGCTGCCCTAGGCTAGTCTGTTTTTTATTTCCCTTGATTTGTAGTGAGTGCTGGTCCTTGTCATGTGATTGGTGGATGCTAACACATTTTTCTCTTCGGCTGAATGGTCCACCCACAGCTGGGAAAAGCGGGCAGCTGTTGCCTGTGAAAGAGAGGGGAATGCTGGGCGATGCTGATGTAACAGGCTCTCTGCAATTTTCATTCAGATGTGGTTGGCTGCAAGCTGGCAAAACGCCTCGGCTACCCCTCCCACTCCGATGAGGTAATCCCAGCACCCTTTCTTGGATATTACAGCAGGATCTGCGCTTTTCCAGCTTTAAGGTCAGCTCTCTCCCCTCCCCGAAACTCATTGGATGCAGGAAGAGCCCCCCTCCTCACTCCCTTCCCAAGCTCCCCCTCCTTTCTCTTTAATGCACATCTCACTATGCTTTGGAGGGGAGGGAGGAGCAAACACAGGAAGAAATTTACCGCAATGGATTTCACAATTTACTCTGGCCTCCAGGTCTAATTCGAATGGGATTCATGAGACTCCAGCAGGAATTTGCAGCACTGTTAGACCCAAGAGTCCTAACCAGCAGCGGGATAAGAGAAAGTCCAGAACTACTCCTACCCCCATCAAAAGTAATATCTGTTCCTTCTGCTCTCATTCGTTTGCTGGTTGTTTAAACTTCTCCCTTTGGAGATGCCTTCTCTCAGAAAAAGATGGAGTGGCACTCTTCGGCTCTTTCCAGTCTCTGGACAATGTTCCTGTTGAGAGAAACTGGTGTGGAAAAAGGGGTTTTTAGCTTCCTGTACAAAGTGCTAAGAAGAGCCAAGACTTGGTGCTCGGCATTTCCTGATTTGCTACGGTTTTGCCATCAGCACCCGGAGAGCGCTTTGCACGCGATTCTCCTAAAGGGTTATCAAGAGTGCTGTTCCGTGGGATAGATGGCTGGAGAGGCTTCAGTACCCTGGACAGTTCCCTCTCGGCTCCCTGTTTTGGTTCAGAGACTGAGTGAACTGCTTTAGTGCGTGTTCTCCTTTTCTTTTAAGAAAAATTACCTCCCTACAGATTTATTTTTCAGCTGGAATTTGTATCAAAGCCTTCCCCCCATCCCCCCCCAAATAATCACCTAGATTGAAGGAGGAACTGAAGCTTTGAAAGGTAAATTTCAGCACCTGGAGAGATTCTATTATTTCTACATTTTGGGGATTGAGGTACAAGAAAAACAAAACGGTAGCAGAGTAGATGGTTCTATTTTTTCCCCCTCTGCTGATTTTAGAGACTGAATATACATAGGAATTCAGATTTTCTGTAAATGCCTGCTTGGATTTATTTTAGCCTAGAAACGGAGTACAGATTTTTGCTTTAAGCTCTCCCCTTCCCATCCCTCAGTGCACCTTCCCCCAAATTACTCCATGTTTTAATGTTTATTTAAAGTATTTCAAGTTTAGCTAAATGTCTAATTTGGATTCATTCATCCACCTGTCCTGTAATCTTTTCCACATTTCTCCCCTCCTGGAAGGTTTAGAGGGACTCGTTTTTAAAGCAAACCACTCTATCTTTTGGTGGTGGTTAGTTATGATTTGCCATTAGGAGACAGGAGGATAGGGACTGGCTTGGAACATGCTGTACAAACACTGGCCCATCAATCATCTGCAGTGATTTTTTTTTAAAAAAATATTGAATATTCAGCTGAGAGTTTTAAAAGGAGCCTCGTTACCAAGAAACTTTGGCATCAAAAGGCTTGGAAAACCCTCTCCGGATCTCCCCACCATAGTTGATACTTCCTCAATAGCATGGGCATTGGTTTTCCTGTGTAACTAAGGGGGGAAAAAACCCATCCCCTTGGGCATCGCCACATCTGGCAGGGATTTAAGGGCTTCAATCCAAGCATCACTGCAATCTACAATGGCAAATGAACCGGTGATCTTGAATGTTTATGACATGGTGAGTAAGAAACAAGCAGATGCCTTCATTTCAAGGTGGGAGGTAGGGGAGACAATTCTGGGATATGATTGGGCAAGAGAATCTATTATGATGAGCCAAGCAGCATGCACGGCACTTGGCTGGGCTGAATCTCCAGAGCCATTGGTGACAGAGAAGCTACTGTTGCCCATACCTGGGTTTCTTCAGAAAGTACTGTGTTTTGAAGGGAGACCATCTCATCAGACTAAAGATGCAGTTAAGAATTACTATTGGAAAGATTCTTTCTTTTAGAAGCCCAGGTAGAGGAAAGGCTATAAATTGTATGGCTTATATCCTGAACTGGATGCCCTTGATTTTCTAGGCAATTAAGCGCTCTGGACTAAAGAAGGAAGCTTCGGAGGGGTTTGGGGGGGATAGTGAAATGAAATAGTGTAATGTATCAGAGAAATCCTTATAAAGCCTGATCTTTTTTATAAAAATACAGTACTGTTCTGTAAGGATTGTTCCAAAATAACCATGCAATCTCTTGCTTAGCATTCCACATTAGGATCTCAGGAGTGTGACTGAAGAAATTCTTTCATGTATTTTGGAAATATTTTAAGATGACCTTTAACACCATGAGAACTGGTTTAATTGGCAAGTCTTTTATTATGGCTTTATAGCAAAATTCAGTTAATTGTGTATTATTATTTTAAAAGCATTATTGGTATCTGAATATATTCTCTTTAGGTTGTCTGGATTAACACCACTTTTCATTGCTTTTCTACATTGGATCTTTGTGATGCTGATAATAAGTAGAGACAATATGTTTAGAGTCAATGGGAAAAAAAGGCTATTCGGATAACAGAGATCAGTAACATCAATAAAAAATCAGGAAAGTCTTAAGTACACTGATAAGTTTAATTTATATCTTCCTCTGGATTATCAATATTAAATTCTTAATAAAAGATACTTTCACAAAGGAGCTTGAATTCTCTTGACTAATAAGATGTTTCTTCTGGGTTTTTTTTTTTTTCATCCAAAACTCAAAGGATTAGCAGATGTGCAAAATAATAACCAATTTCATTGTCAATTTAGATTCAGCTACTGGCTTTTTCTAAAGTGCTCATTTCCACTTCTGAAAAATTTATGAAGACAAAAGCTCTATTATTCAATCAAGATATGAATTATAGTAAAAGGTTTTAGTGGATTTGAGTGAGAAAAGTCCTGAATGGAAGAATCAGCTAACCCTGGAATATTCAGTAATTCTCCATTTGTTGGTATTGCTTAATGCAAAGTTGTAATTTGAAACATCATTTCGTTTCTGGTGTTTAGGATCTCACTGTTATCTTAAGCATCTCAGTTCACTTTGTTTTCAAGCTGATTTCATAATTAATAAGTGAGATGTAAGAAAGAGAAAGATTAAAAAATTCTGTGAAAAAGAAAGTGTTGGTCCCTTAATGAAAGATAATAATATAAAGGTCTTACTTTATTATAAGACTGAACTAGAACTGTTGCAAATTACACCTTGTGTCTTGGATTGCTTGTAAATAAGTAGCATATTTCCCTTTTTTTTTGGTTGTTGGATATATGTTTTGATTATAATCAGTCTGCCACCTGAACAATTACAACCTTTTTCTGAGAACTGGTCAGCAAAGAAGTGCCTATGTGAGAATATTAAGAGATATTTGTGATGGTAATTATGTTCACTTGGTATTGAAATAAATCTGTAATACTGTATATAAGTTAACAGAATTTAATATCTTCAATAACCATTCTCAACTGGGTTCCATCTAGATGTGTTGCACTGCAAGTCCATGTCCCCCATGTTGGCTACCAGCATTATTTGTCTTCTTGCATAGGAAGACTGAGGTGAAAGACATGAATATCTCTATAACATTGTGATAAATATATTTTTGTTATCCCATTTCGCATATCCTATCTTTGAATGTAGAAATCTTCTTATCCTGCAAATCAATCAATCTATCTATCTATCTATCTATCTATCTATCTATCTATCTATCTATCTATCTATCTCTTTATTTACCTACCTACCTACCTACCTACCTACCTACCTACCTAGAATCTGATTATTCTATGATCCATGAGACATCATATGTGCGTGTTCTGAGAACAAGCTTTGGCTCAAGATCATTCACCACTGTGTTCAAATCAATGGCCTTATTCCAGTGATAACAAATTTTGAACATTTGTTCATTGAACATTGAACATTTTGGCTGGTATGCTCAAGCCAAAATTATTCGCTTTGTATGTATGCCTCCCTGCTGATTTTAATATGAAAATTTTTGCACAAGCTTAAATATCTCTTGTGTTGATTGATGGAACTTAAAAATGCTTCCTTTTAGCTTAATTGGTAGCCTTTTGGAGTTATTTTTGTAGCATGGCAGGTAAATCTGGTTACCAATTGCATCTACTTTGGGAACAATTGTTCGCTGAAAAAAATGCATTATAATCTCTTTATTTTATATATAAAGCCTATTACTTTCAGTAGTACGTAAAATAGAATAGGACCATTGACTATTGTTCTTAAACGTCTTGCTGGAAATTTGATCCAATTGGCTTCTAATTTCAGGAAGGAATATGGAAGGGTTTTATCTTTCACTATACATTTTGAAATGGACATCACTGATCTTTTAAACTATTAAGCTTCAGAAATGTAATGTTTGGCCTTCTATGACTAAAGAACATTACTAGAAATTACATGCTACTTTAGCATTATACCCAGGATTCAGTGGATTCCAATGGTTTATCACACCTGACAATTTAAGCATGGCTGATGCTCTTTAAATAGCACTCAGTAGTTTTGTTAGATTAACAAGATTTTCATGAAGTAGTTTAAAGACCAAGTCAACCCCCATTTTTTGTAACTGTAATGACAAATCTACCTTGAAGAATATTTATTTATTTATTGGTATCCTGCCTTTATTACTTTTACAAACAACCCAAAGCCGCAAACATATCCAACACATCTTCCTCCTATTTCCCCCCAAATTTCCTCCAATTTTTATCCAGAATACAAATGTGGTTTGCCATTGCCTTCTTCTGGAATGTTTCCCCCCCCCCAGTTTCCCAATCTAATCTACAGTCTCAGAATTTCCTGATAGTTTCTTATTTGAAATCTGCCGAAGTCACCTAAGTGCTCCCATCTGCTATAAAAATGGATCAAAGCAGAAGAAGCTCACTATATAACGTCTAGCAATATAATCACATATTGACTTGTGCTAAGTTGAAAAGAACATTGAACTATTTATTTATTTTTTTTTATTTATTTATTTACACTGGACTGCTTGATTTATCAAGGAAATATGTTCCTATCAGGAAACATTTCCTGTAATCCTGAACCCATCAACTGAGCAAATTCCCCCAATGAGCCATCAATTGCTTATAGTAATACCTCACATATCCTACTTCTCAAAGCAAATGCTCACATAAGAAGTTAAAACCCCAAGTATGACAAAAATCAAAAGACAATTGGGAAAAGAGATTAAGTAGCAGAATAGATACGTTATCTTGATTTTTAATAATGCTTATTTAAAACTGCTCCTAAATCTTCATTTGATCCTGACCAGCTGGCTCAAGGTTGACTCAGGCTTCCATCCTTCCTAGGTCAGTAAAATGAGAACCCAGATTGTTGGGGACATTATTCTGGTTCTGTAAACTGCTGAGAGAATGCTGTAAAACACTGTGAAGTAGTATATAATTTTAAGTGCTATTGCTATTGCTATTTTCCATAATTTGCACACAGTGCTAGAAAAAGATTCATATCTAACAAATAAGAGTCTTTCTTTATTAGGGTTCAGAAAAGTTTCAGAAGATGAGCAAATCCTGAGATGCTCTTGTCCAGGTAGGTTTGGATTTATAAAGAACTGTTGGGCTCCATGTTCCCTCAAGAAGGAAGGGCTTCTTCTAGTTTGGACTGTATCAACTCTGTGAGTGGAAGCAGGAAGGAGAGAGACCCCTTCTCTCTTACTCTTTCTAAAACTTGCTACTTTTGCTTTGCCCTTTCCGCCCTTGCCAGTAGCCTACCAGGAAAGAATGCTTCTCAAGAGTTAAACAGATTTCTTATAGAAGGCTTTTGAAATTAGATTAAGTATTGCAGATGAACCAAACAGACAAGAAATCTTTGTCAGATGAGAAATAACTAGTAATAATTTAGGTTGTCCTGGTAATTGCTGGTAACAATTTAGCAACATTCGTGGGCAATCTGAAGGAGGTAAACAAGGCAATTGACATCCCACAAACCAATGGTACATTTACACCATTTCTTCCACAATGTCATGATATGGTGGGACCAAATGGCATAATTCCAATCATTTATACAGTAATGTTACAATGGACTGAGACCACTGTGGCTCTTACCAGAGTTTCATGGCAGCAGTTTCTGGACCACCTCATATTTCTAGATTGTACTCAAGGGCAGTCAGATATTCTTTTTCATTCTTGTTTCCTTAATCATTAAAACATGTCATGGTCATATATCACAGTCTCACATCACTGCCTGCTTAATGTACTACATCAAGTCCCAGTTTATTTAATCCTAACACATTGAATAGATTACGATTGACAGAATTCAAGCATCATGCACATAGCACAGCTGGGTTCAGACGAAGAGCCACAAACCAAAGAAGCAATATTTCAAACTATGTTTTACTGCTAAATATGAGCCCAGCTAATTACACACGGTGATGAGAACTAGCCACTCATTTTAACTAGGGAAACAGGGATTTTTATTACCATAAAAATGATAATAAACGATTTTGCGGTTTGTTCAACCTGGGTGAATAAAAGGTACAACCGATCTGGCTTGTTATGAGGGTTTTGAATATAATGCATAATTTTTCCTATGAATTATATAGTGAGTGTACAACATAGCACTCCAGGATGTATGTATTGGACGTGCGTTTGTGTCCCTGGGAGAGGGGGAATAGAAGTGCTCCATCAATTGTCACAAAATAGATTAAGTGCAATTGTGGCAGGTGGGAGGGATGCCAATTACCATGGATTTAAAGCTCTGTCATGGC